GAATTGCCTAAAATGTCAATCATTACTTCGGGTCGGGTCGGGCTCGGGCTTCTCTCTCGCTGACTTTTTTTCAAATAAATATATGTTTATAAAATGTATACTAAAACGATGTGTGGATACTAAACTAAGGAATACTTGTTATAAAATTAATAATTTGGATTAAACAGAGAAGTAATGTAATGTAATTGCTATTTAACTACTAAACAGGATCCGCAGAGCCAGAGCTCTGCACACGTGAACGCCCCCTCTTAATTTAATAATCTTCCCCTCCGCAAGTCTGCATCTATTTTGACCTGGTGTCCCCAATATGGAGGAGCAAGAAGTTAAGGATAAACTAAAGGCAGGAGAACTGAAAAGACAAACACGCATCAGTATTAGTGAGGTGTGGAAAAGCTTCAAATTGATTGTTGAAAATGCTACAGAAACTTGCGTTGGCTTCGCTGAATGTCGTCAATGTGGCGCTTTGCTTTCATACGAGAGCAAAAAGACTGGCACCTCGACGCTGAGCACTGCTCCTCCTCCCGAGTCCTCACAAATAAAATATGACATTTCGGGTTTGCTTCGGGCTCGGGCCTGCAAATCAAGTTAATTGGTCGGGCTCGGGCCGGGTCGGGTTTTAATACCCGCGGGCCGGGTCGGGTCGGGCTGGATTTTTTAGGCTCGATCTCACCTCTAGTTTACAGTGTATATGTAGTATATATGATTATTGTTTCTCTCTTGGCACAAACTCGAAATAAAAACAAATCAATCAGTCAATGTAGTTTCTAATAGAGGGAGCACACTGAACAAATCAGGCCACATTGGAATGGTACATGATGCATTTAAGGACACTTATTAGGCAAAATGTACTTTTTAACCATCTTATATTGTTGTCCCCTGGATGCTGGAGTTAAAAGTGACGTCATTGCTCTTGTTCTGTGATCAAAATTATGGCTCAATCAGCACAGCATTCACATTACCTAAGGATTTCAATTGGTATTTTAAAATTTATTTATGTTTAATTATCAAGGTATTCATTCCTGTTGCTGACAGCAGAGGGAGTGCCAGTTCCAATGTGACCAAAAACATATTCATCCAATCCACTTTTCTTCTACGGCACATTTCACAAACAAACAGTTTCCAAAATGCTGCACAAATACATACTACGGTAATAACAAAAATTAAAATATAATGGTAAAATAAACACTCAAATTTAATCATACAGGTCTTAAAATAATAAAACCAGTATAAAATAAAATAAGACCAAAATCATAAAATAGCAATAAATAAATAAACCAATAAAAATACATTAAAATAAATAAAAGAGTGAGAGTTTAAAAGAAACTTAAAGCCACAAGAATGTATAATATGTGCCCTTTAAGATACAAGATACAAAAAAGTACCAAAAAGAGAATTCTGCTTGATCAAAGAACTAAATAAGTACTTATGAATAATGATATCTGGAACTATACCATTGTTTTAAGTTTAGTTAATAAAATCACTAGCCCCACTTTACTACAAACAACCTGATAATTCTCTCCATCCATATGCTTTGTACTTCATATTTTATATTATATTTGGGCAGTAGATATTGGTACTCACAGTGAAATGTGGTCTGGCCTGAGTGAACTGTAGCCTCAGTCTGGAGGTGAGCTGCTCTGAACCCAGGTCTATGACTGTGCACGAGTCCAGCAGCTCGGACACGCTCTGCAGGTCTGTCACCGTCTGAAAACAGCACCAAACAAAAGGGAAATAATAAAGAGAAATGCATGGAATAATTTACTCAACCAACACGGACTGCAAATACACCACTATATTTCTGAGAATCCATCAATCATTTCATTTAGAGGTGTCCTTTATTATTACCTTTCCCAGTCTCTGTCTGTATTTGAGGCAGTACTTCTTGTCCTCTTGCAGCTTGTTCATTTGTTTTTGATAATCTCTGTGCAGCTCCTCCACTTCATCTTTAGATTTTTTCAGACGCTTCATAGTCTCAATCACCGCATGGATCGCTGAGTCTGGGTTTAGTCCTGGCACCTTCATCTGAGATAAAGAGAAAAGTGACATCTTTTTAACTATATCTTTTAAAATTAATGTTCCATATCATAAATAAAGTATGAAGAGTATTTTATTTCAACGCCTGACATGAATCAAGTGTCTGACGCCCTCTGCTGGCACTGTGAGTTTTTGTTCCATTGCCTACTCTTGTGACAGGTCACAGTGTGTCTCCAGAGTGAGAACTGTGGGCTGGAGGTTTACCTTGCTGAGATGACTTCTGTACATATTCCCAAGTTCTTGAGCTGTGAGGAATTTCTGCACAGCGGTCTGCCATCTTGCCTCCTCTGCCGCCTCCTCCACTTCAGGTCTGTCAGCGTACGTCCTTTTCAGATGTTCAAAATCCACCAGCACCTACAGATAAATACAGTATAATAGACATATCTGTGAACCTAGCTATTATTGCAGCCTTAATGCAACATACAAAATACAGAAACCTCACTTAAACTGTAAAAATATATGATTGTCTTTCAATTTTACCCCCTGATTAAATAAGTGAAGCTGTTACACAATGGCTCAACCTAGTGGTAGTTTTTGTCATGTTTTTCTACAATAAAAACATTTACTTTTCAACACAGATATATGCTTATGCTCCATCTTATTTAATAATGAAAATGACCCTATTTAACAGCATATTATAATATTATGATATTTCTGAACATGACTTCCATTTATTGTGTCTTTCTGTAATTCTTTTAAATGCCTTGTCTTTGGTAAATCAGGATTATGGCAGTTATGGCAGGGGGTACTTGGGGGTAACTTGACTAGATTTTGTTTTTGCAGTGTTTAGACTAGTTTTCCCTAGCCTATTTTGACATACAGTCTACGGTGAATTTGATCATTTCACTACCGGGTTGGACATGACGAATACCTCATCTTCTCTAGCAGCCATACCATAGAAAGCCAGACGCTCATGTAATTTACACAAAAAATATTTTTCAATATGTATGATTTTTAAAATTGTGTTTTTGCACATACATTGTCCCAGAATTTTTGACGCATTTTTTAATATTGATGATATAGATAACTAGCCAGGTGTAAACAAAGCATTCGAGATGGTGAGATGTGTTGGCAATGATTCTCAAGATCGAGGATTTAAAGCCAGAACAAAGAGAATATTTGGTGAATTTTATCAAGGGGAAAGACATTATTGCCCTTCTTTGTACGGGATTTTGGAAAAGCTTAATATGCCAATTAGTCCCATTACGTACGTCACAACCAAATAGCAGCGATTGGTTAAATAAAAAAAATTTCGTCTAATGAACGAATTCTAATGCTGCGAGGTCAGACGGTTTCCACAAAGTGAAATGGCTGATGAATCAGACTAACAGATAATAGTTTTTTTTTGTGTGCTTTAAGCATTTACCTCCTCTGCTGTCTGTAGGAAGACGACGTAGGGCTGCAGCAGCTGTAGTTTAGTCTGGATGGTTGTGTTGACAGTGCTCAGGTCCTTCAGGATGACCTCTGCTCGTGCACTGAGTTTACGGTCAACACTGCAGTCCCCCGGGGAGTCTGAACACAGGGTCTGTAGCTGATCCAGCATCTGCAGCATGGACTCTGCATCTTCACCTGCAATCTAGAAAACAGAACATATACACTACTGGTCAAAAGTTTTAGAACACCACACTTTTTCCAGATTTTTACTGTTTACTGTTGACCAAAACATATTCTAAACTTTTGATTCATGAAAGTGTCCACCTTTGGCAGATATAACAGCTGAACACACTCGTGGCTTGTTCTTTTTACAATAGAATTCAAATATTCTTCAGAAAGTTTTTCCCAAGTCTGTTGCAGAAGTTTCTATAAATGTGTGGCACTTGTCGGTTGCTTCACTCTTCTGTCCAGTTCATCCCAAACCAGCTCGATGGGTTTTAAGTCTGGAGACTGTGCTGGACACTCCATGTTTTCAAGCTTTACCATCTTGTTCTTGTTTTGGCAGAGCTTGGACTTTTTAACCTCTGGCTGTTCAGTTTTTATCCTTTGCACCATTTCTAACTATTTACTGAACTCGCACGACTTAAATTGCACTAAAAAACTGGAAAAAAGTATGGTGTTCTAAAACGTTTTGACCGGTAGTTTAGCATCATAAACATTCAAAAGAAACAAAAAAAACAAAAAAAAAAGGAAATTAAATATGCTTTGTAAATGTAGTGGAGTTTTGTTTTGTTTCATTCACATATAATATTTTTTGTTTGAGAGAAGATTTCAAACATGTATGAATGAAACAAAACACAACTCCAGGTCTGTTTGTGAGGAGGAAATAAGATTATAACAGATCAAAAAATAGTGCACTACAGGCCCTTTAAGTTAGTCTACTTCCACTATGTTATCAAAAAGGCAGTGCCACTTATGTCTGCCCTGGTTTCACACTGGTTTAACATTTGGGATGTGTAATGTCATTCTACAACAGCAGGTGGTGCTATTGGCTTTATATTTACTACAATAAAGGTTCTGAAAACAAACTTCAAACCATCCTGCAGTTAAATTTGTATCATTGCACGTATAATATAGTACTTATCTTACATTATCAAAACTTTTGACTAGAGGCTGAGAAGATTCTATTTTATCTGTACACAAGAAAAACAAAACAAAACATAAAAATAAAAATAAAATAATAAAATAAGGTATGCAATAAGTAGGCTAACTTACTGGAAAATTCTGAATGATGCATAGATAAAAACATTTCCAAATTTATATAAACCTAGTCAAAATATACAAAATATATATTAATATACAAATGCACTGAAATAAGTGTTTTAAGAGCCATCAAAAATCTGTATTTTAGTCCATCTGAATTTCATCTTGACTGGAAGTATGCATAATTTATCACATTTTTACTATTCTTTGTTACACTCCTAATTCATTTGCAACAGTAGAACCAAAAAAAGACAACTCAGCTTATTAAAAGGACATGTTCCTGATTTTAATATATTCTTCTTCATGATAAATGCTCTTTACAGCATGTTCTATATGGTAAATAATACATGAGAGTGTAATATACGCATGGGGATACACCTAAACAAACTGGGGCACTGTGGTCCAAACCCAGACTCCTGAACCAGCAGGGAGCAGCTCCAGTTCAGATGAGTTGGAGTGTTGGAGTGGGGAGTGCTGTTAGGTGCCTCGGCCTGAGCAGCGTTTTTCCAGGGAAGAACCAAGAGCACGGAGGACGGACCCTCAGAACAACAAGCGCAAATACAAACCGAGATGACAAAAAAACCCGGTAGCAGCTGAAGTGCGCTTTCTTCTGGTAGACATAAATACATTTGTGTCTCTGTCCAATCAGAACCCTTCCCGACCTCTGGATGTTGAACGGATTAAATAAAGCTGATTTAATGTGTTTTTTCCATATAAACCTTAATTTAGAATTATTATTTCCATGTAAACTCGAAGAAAAAATATTTAATTCGAAACTATTTAATTCTGAATAATTAATTTGGAATTAAAAAAAAGAAAACATCATGTAAACATGGCCACTGTCAACTTTTTTTCTCTGAGGAGTTTGCAGATCTGATAAGATTTGAGCTGTAGAGGGTTCAATAAATACTGTGTCTTCTGTGACTAATTATTGGTTGTTTCTGCCATTTATTTGTTGCAGCTCAGGAGTTTTGAATGACTGTCTATTTAAACACTGGATTATCTTCCATTGTTGTTATTGCGTCAGTGGGATAACAACATATCGGACTTTAAACTTTGTTATCGTGACAGGTCTAGGTACAGGTCTTTTAAATGAGTGAAACCTAGGCCAAAGTGTCTTCCCCTGTTGCAATTCATAATACAAATACAGAGTACCTGAGCCTGGGCCTGCAGATGGGCGTGCGTGGTCAGAGAGTGGTGAGCCTCAGAGAAACATGGTCCTGGGTGAGAGGTGACCATCAGCACACTGCTACAGCTGTCCAACCAGGAGCACACCTACACATACAGACATCAAGATACAGGATATAAATGCACCAAAGGAGACAAATTATGCAAATTCAACTTCTTTTTAAGTTAACCATGTTGCAATAGCTTCCCCACATCATTATCTTGTTGCTTGTTACTTTGAAATGCCACTAAGAAAAGGCGAGGGAGGAGTAGAGAATGAATACTGCAGGGTTGAACAGGAAGTCAATGGACCTTTTAGTTTCATTAAGTTGGTTTAGAAGCTGCAAACGCTGCTATTTATCTGGTTAGGAAGGTCGGTAAACAAAATGTTAAACCTTTTTGCTCCTAAATAGCTCTTTCTTTTACCATTAAGGCCTAAATATATTCACCCAATCTTGTGCTTTTTCTACACTATATCTGTGACCACATTAAACTAATTAATATAAAGTCCAAATAAGCAATAAGATCCCAAAGCCTTGCACAGACAAAATAAAACCAAAAAAGGAAAGAGATTCGCACTGCAGTTCTTCGAAACTCCCAAAATTTGGTTTCAATGATTCCACCATGTGACTCCTCAAAGCGTCACATTATGATGTCATTGAAATAAATTCTGGGAGCGTCAAAAAACTGCAGTGCGGATCTTTTTCCTTTTTTTGTACTACTTTTGTCTTTGGACCCAGCATGCAGTTGCAGTTTTTGTTGGATGTGCATCTGTCTATCTTGCCTGATTCATCAGCTGGTTTCACTTCGTGGAAACCGTGACCTCACAGCATTAGGAGCTGCTGCTCCTCATCATTTTGGTCTTAAAATGTTCATATTAACATGATCATGGTGTTTTGTCCTTAAATTAATTTCTGTTCCTAATGTGGAACTCATTTGCCCCTATAACAGCTAGCCTCATTTCATTTGACTGGAGCCGAACACTATGTGTGACGTCACACTCCCTTAGTCCACTTCTTTATACAGTCTATGGTTGTGCCCAGTTTTATATAAATGCAAAAACAAAAACAAACTTTCTCCAGCACACAGTACCTTGTCAGCAAGCTGGTCAAACGACGCCTCAAGTTTGTGAATCTCTTCCAGATGTAGAATTCTTTCGGCTTCTTCCTGCTTTTGTTCTGCTTTGGAATGTTCAAGCTTGAATTCATAGTTTTCTATCGTGGTGCTTTCTACTTTGACGATGGTCTCCACTTTTGGATTAATTTCCATTTTATGGACCAAATGTTCCTCAGATGGTTCTTCAGGAGGTTGCAACTTCACAGTCTTGTCTTCTACATTACACTTAACATCAACAGTTATTTCTGGAGGTTTTGTTTCTTCAGATTTTAATATATTTTCTTCTTTTAACTTATCATTGATTACGTTTTTGACTTTATATGAATTGTTTGGTATCTTCTCAAACTTTAGTCCAAGATGAGAAGTAGAATAATTATCTTTTTCTTGCCATTTTGATTGCAATTTTTTAAACCTTTCACTGAAATTTTCTTCATCCCATTCGCTCTCATTTGTGTCAATTTCAGATTTGGGAATTTCTTCAGATGCAGATTTTTCTGTGGATTTTACTTCTGGCTCCTGGTCGGATTGAATCTCGGTATCTTCCATTTCATTTAAACCTGAGCTACGGTAAAGCTCTTTGGTATCTTCTATTTCATGTATCTCTTCTTCCACTACTTTAGATTCCTTCTCCACTGTCGTATCATGATTCGAATGATTAGTGGTTGCGAATCCCATGGTCGCCTCAGTTTTTTGCTTTTCTTCAGAACTTGTAGATGTTTCATTGGCATTGATATTAATATTAAGAAGATCCTTGTTTTCTTGCAATTTTGGTTGGAGTTTCTTGGACACAAGGCTGAAAATTGGCAGAGATCTTGAGCGCAGTTCGAATCTCGTCTGTAATTCTTGATTCAAATCAGAAATTGTCGGATTCTCTTTAGACATTTGCTTAATTTTAGATACGGTAACCTTTTGGAAATTCATATCCAATTTACCATCCTGTGATTCATGTAGATTGGATTCTAAGACATCTAACTGAGATTCATTTTTTTCCTCCAAATTTGTAGACGTTTTGTCATTGTTGTCACTTTCTACAATTGCAAACTCTTTTGGCGTTAACCGAGTGCTTAAATCGCAATTCGAAAATGATTCTCCGTTGAAATCTTTGTTTTGAAGTTCTTGTGCTAGTTCCGATTTCGTAGAAGAATCACTGGTTGAGTTCACAATCCAGTCTTTTGTTTCTTGTAATTTTGGCTGCAGTTTTAGCGACGCAAGACTGAAAACGGGCAAAGATCTTAACGGCAATTTCAGTTTTGTATCTGAATGTTTTTTAGCGTAATTTGAAGGAGACTCGTTAATAGTTTTCTCAATAAAAACATCTTCTGCTTGTTGCTCCAACCTGATTTCTAAGTCATCATTTGAACTGTATGAATTGTCCAACTCAATATCTGATTCTGGCTCAGTATTAATTAATTCTTCATACTTAATCTCTTGCTTCAACTCCTCATTTTCCTCCGCTATAGACTCCAGTGACTTTGCAGATGTGTTTTCACTGGAGGTTTCTTGCGTTTCCTCAATTTCCCATTTTGGTGTCGGTTCACGCTCTCCCATTCTGGAGTTGATACGCAATTCCTCCTCTTCTGATAAATTGGACGCAGAATTTCTATCAAGGGTTTCGTTTGAGGACATAGATACGAGATCGGAGCAAGACGTGGAGTTGTCATCTTCAGTCTCTCTTAGGTGGGTGAAGACTTGAGGTAGTTCTAGAGGAATTTTGGCATTTTTTCGGTTTTGATACCAGATCAAATTTTATTTCAGATGTAGACGGACGGTTTTTAGTGTTTTGTGCCCGAATTTCATCTAATGACAAACTCCAGTCCTGGAAAAGAACAAGAAAAGAAGAAGGATGATTTTACTGTCAGTTTCTTTCAAAACAATGGAGACAAAATAGGCTGTCCTTCAAAAGTGGTCAACAATATTCAGGAGAGATTTAAAACTTAGGAAAGCTTGTTCGTAAAGACAAATCCATCAGGTGCAGACATATTGGGCCTATTCATGAAACGTTCTTATGATCAAGTACTCAAGGCCTTTGTACAAACATTTTCAGCATTCACAAAACTTTTTCTTAACTGAAACAAATCCTACAAACAGTTGGGAGCAACAAAAAAACTATTGTTTTAGAATATTATTACTCTGATAATGCAACAAAAACTTGTAATTCCTCCATGATTGTAAATGATTAATTTTCTTAAATTATTTCCTATAAACATATTACTATATGATCCAATTACATTTATGAGGAGTTTTATAGAGCTTTTATGTGTCTATTGGCTCTAAAGGGCCGTTCACACAAAAGCGTCAAAAAACACCTTGACGCCGCTACTTGGACACCTTTGCATTTGAGTTTAGACGCCCCCGACGCGCGTCTTTGACGGTCTAGTCCTGGTCTAGTCCTTGTTTAGTCTCGGTCTAGTCTCGGTCTAGTCCTGGTTTAGTCTCGGTCTATTCAGGGTCTAGTCCTTGTTTAGTCTCGGTCTAGTCCTGGTTTAGTCCTGGTCCGGTCCTGGTGTAGTCCTCGCGATCGGCTTGGTGATTGTGGTGTATATATTCATGCTCCGCTCATGTTTGTGGTTCTCGCTCTGGTTCTCGGGTCTTGCTTCCTGATAATAACGTCGCTGCGTCACTGGATACTCGTCCCTGATTGGTTGACGCGGCGCATCTGACGCGAAACGTTCAGCATTTTCAACTTCTTAACGCTGACGCCTTGGACGCATGTCTAGACCGCCGACGTCAAAATGCTCAAGACGTGCCGCGTCGACGCCAGATTCGCGCCGCGCTGACGCCGAAGACGCGCCGCAAAAACGCAAGACTCTAGTCGCGTGTCCACATAGACTTTACATAGAAACTGGACGCTTTGATGCCTTGGTGTGAACGGCTCTTAACCGACTTTCTCCAGGCTGCAGTGAGCCTCAGTCTGTCCCGGCCCCAGTGCCTCCATATGGGCCTCTATCACAGCTCTGCACCTGGTCACTGCGCTGGACTCATCACCCCCATCACCCCCTGATCCCCATGACCAGAGTGCACTCTTAAGCGCCCTGATCGCAGCCTCCGTCCATCGCTATTTACCGCAGGTCCGTACTCGCAGAAAGCATGATAACTACAATGAAAGTGGACGCTTATTTCAATAAGTTTGTGACTTAAATCTTCCGTCCCGGAGCGAGTTCATGTGAGTTTGGACATTTGAAATCGCCGCTGAAGCTGTAAAGTAGCTGTAGTCTGTCGACGCTCCAGCTCACTCTCTCCCTTGAGCTTTCATGTGTCATAATACCAAACCCATATTGGCCATATTTGGATAATCAGGGGGCATTTCTAACCAAATACATATTAATTTTGTATGTAAATAAAATGTAAGGTGTTCGTATCTGGGTGTTTTTTGGCACAACTGTCACTTAAGAAGGAATTCGGCTGCTTAAAAACGCTTTATGAATCTGGCACAGAATTTTTTTTAGCATTTTCTTAAAGTGGATGTTACATTTTTTAAAGAAAAGACTCATGAATGAAACCCATTGTCTTAAATTAAATTGCAATGGTCATTTTAAAGTCCAAATAAGACATTGAACTCATTGCCTATCTCTGTCAGGAAGACAAATCATAGTGTGGACTGGTGTGGACATGTCCCACCAACACTGAGCTCACAGAGGACTGTCCCCACCGGTATTTATGTTACCCGTGGATGACAGATCATGTCTAGACCGCATTCCGTGCCAACCCCATTTCCCTGTTTTTATTTTCTCCCAACTGATACACATATAGACATTGATCCCGCTCTAATTCTGTCTGTTCTTTCCTTTTTAAGATCTGCACAAACTCTGCATCACACATTTTCCGAGACTTTCTCTAAAAGTGCGTATGGCAGGTTTTAATGTGTGGCAGAAGTTGTAAAATGCAAAAAACTCATTGCTGTGAATAATTAGAATGCTGAGAATACGTAAGGTAAATGAGGAATAACTTTGGACCACTGCCAAACATTCAAAATAAACTAGCTGTGTTTTTTATGTTTTTCAGAATGTAAAAATCAGGTACCTGAAATCAAGTACCTTTAGGTAGGTATACTTTATTGATCCTCGACATGCAACTTTGAACATATGAGAGATGACAAACTAATTTATGACAGACCTGACGTACAGCATATCATGTTATTTCTGTCCCAGACACACTGATCCTATGTGTATCATGTACAGAGACATTACAGAGGCGCTTTAAGGTTCTACATTACACTAAATTGACTCTTGTGAACTGTAAGACACATGATAATGTTGTTACCTCCTCAAAAAACACCTGGAGTTGTGTTTTGTTTCATTCACACATGTTTGAGTAACTCGTTATTTTTTATTTGTCTGTTTAGATTTCCAAGGCCCCATCCACGCTAGTACGTATTTGAGTCGTTTTCGTTGCGGATTCAGTGTCCGTCCACTCTAATCCGATGGAAAATGACTCCAGAGACGAACGATCTGGTGCCACCAGCTCCAATGAATTCATCTGAGTACAGGTCTGATCCGGCACTGTGTGGACGCCTGAAAACTTTGATCCGCTGACATAGGAGCTCTAGTCCTTATTGGACCACGTCACTGTGATTTGCACCTTCCTGATTCGCTGGGTTTGTGACATCGGTCATGTGACGTTATTGCAGAAAACAGTTTAAACAAACCATAGACAAACCGGAAACAGCGGAGGTAGAACTACTTGCTAGTAGAAAAGACTGTTTTCACACTTGCCATCTTCCTCGTCTCGAAATCAGCTGCTGCAACTTCAGACACACTCCACTTCCTTCTTTTACTGCCCACGTGACATTGTGACGACGTGACGCCAGCCTAGTCATGTGACTAACGCTAGTTTAGTCACATGAGCATCAGGGGGTTTCACGTTACTGTGTGGATCATGTCTGGACGCAAATCGTTTCTGATACGGTGATTCATTTAGGTGTCAACATAACCCAAAGCTCAAAATGCTCTGTTCTGCCTTGTGATGTCATGTAGCACAAATTTTCAAGTTAAAAGTTACTTCAACCCAGAACATGTTACACACGTCAATCAATGAATCTGCCCAGGGACGACAGGTGGAAATTAGCACTGGTGCTAGTGGCTTGACACTTCACCCACATTGCCTAGTATGAAAGTGGTGTGTGCGTGAGTGATGGTGGTGGTCGGAGGGACCGTTGGTGCTGATTGGCATGGCAGCCACGCTTCTGTCAGTCTGCCCCAGGGCAGCTGTAGCTACAACAGTAGCATACCATCACCAGGTATAGTATATATATAATGCTCTGTAAAGTGTCTTTGTGACAAAAAATGTCTGTGAAAAGCGCTATATAAATAAAGACTTACTTACTTTTTACCTGTACTTCAGTAAAGATGGGCAATTCTAGGGATCAATTCATCAAATGATTCTAGTGAGGGTGTATGGAGTTTAAAAACACAGTTAAGCAAGTCTTGTGAGGTATTTTCAGTTTGAGAAAAACAGTCCTAAATGCAGGATTTGTGTGTGAATGAAACAAAACTCAACTCTAGGTCTGTTTGTGATGAGGAAACATGATAACATAGATCAGAAAATAGGGCTGAATCAATTTATTATATCAAAATTGTCCCAACAAAATTATAGTTTACAGTTTGAGATTTTTTGTTTGTTTGTGCGGTCTATAAATTGATGCTGAATTCTATTTTGCACTGCCTAAATATTTCACTGTGATTCAAATTCAAAAACATGAAGGTCGCAGTATTCCCTGGTCCTAAATAAATCAATGTTTCGTCACCTCTTCGATGGAGGTGATGGGAGACGGAATATTTTTAAATGCAGACATCGGAGAGAGCGGCATGAAACTTTAGTGCATCTTATTTATAACATGAGCCTCAGTAATGTCGACAGAAAACAAGATGGACGTTCTTTACTGCGACATCAGACTTTTACTATCTCAGGGACGATCAATATTTTTGTCGAGACAAGGATTTTAAATGTGCTTTGGTATTTGTTTTGGCAGCACAATGGTTGAGTAGTATAGCTGCAAAATTACTCCCAATCAAATCAAAATTGCAATTTCAATGTACAATTAAACAATTAGCAGCTCGCAAAGGCTGAAATTTTTAACATGCTATAGTTTTATTGATGCTCTGCATACATTGATCTCTGGATTGTGGCAACTGTATATAAACTAACATTTATGTGCCTGCCTGTAATTCTACTGTGCGTTCAAAGTAGGACAAAGTTAAGAACACCTAAACCCTGCCACAGCCACATTTGAAACAGAGCTCCTAAACTGGGAAATACCTGGAGCACTACAGAAAGAGAAACGAGAAAGATACACAAAGAGTGAGTGCTCTCTGAAAATCTGGCAGCCCTGGCACTTACCTCCCCCTCTCCAGGCTCTTGCTCATGTGGCTGTGTGTGCTCCTGGGCCTGTTGGATCTGCAGCTTCACTTCATGGTCCACTGTCCTCCTCTGCTCCTGCAGAGCCTCGACCATCTGCTCCAGCCTCCGCACAGGGCCCCAGCTGCACTCACAACTCTGAGGATGTGAGGAAGAATATACTAGATCATGCTTTATTTTCTTCTGAACATGCTCTTTGTCACTGTAAAAGAAAAAGGTGACTGAGGCACTCTAGGGATTTACAAAAATGTTTAGAGCCTTTATTATTTCAT